ATTACTAATATTTCACATAGATCTACAATCTATCATGCCTTGTGCCCAAGGTTCACCTTAAGGTTCAATAATATGGCTTTGATGTCTGACCTTGGGGCTCTTCCACCGGATGTCAAGTCCGGAGGAGCTTGTCTCAGTGGTATCATATTCTGCTGTCATTCGGCAAGTTCTCGTATTTCCTTCCAGCTGGTTAAAACATGTGGTTTTACTCCTTTTATAATTTTTGTGGAAGAACTTGGTAATCTAAGGTCTTTGTGAAGCAAAAAGTAGACGTTAAGAAGCATTTTCTCAATGGATATGGTTTGCTTTATTTTTATTAAAACAATGGTACTGCATTTACAAACGTGGAAATGTTGTTTCCAGGTTGAAAGTATAGTCTTGAGTATAATATCGATGCTATCCAGTCCAAATGACGAATCTCCTGCAAATGTTGAAGCTGCTGTAAGTGATCCTTTATTGTATTGTCTTTGAACTACTCTACATGTTGTTGAATGTTATAAACATTTCCGACATTGACAACCAGAGTTATATTGGGAAGCAATGGTAGACACCCCATGTTCCGATTTGTTGACCGTGTTACACACAGCACATTATAACATATTTTAATTTACTGCATATATTGATTTAATGTACTTCTCGTGACTGTCTAGCGACTAATGGCACATAAGTGTGGTTGTCTGAATATTCGGAGATAGAATTTGAGTTTACTTTCGTCTAAGTATTCTAAGATTCTGCCGGTATCCAAATTGCAGAAGGAGTGGAGAGACCGGAGAGAGGATTTCAAGAAAAAGGTCAGCCGCTGCGTGAGGAAATCACAAGAGATGCTATGAATATGAACATGATATTGCTACCAAGTTAAAGCATTTTCTCCGCGCAAGTGTGTCAGAGGATGTGTTAATTGGCAAAGCGTATGCCATTGATTTTCTCACGCAAAATATCTTTATTTCTTTTTGTTTTTTGTTTCTCTCTTTTTCTTCTCATTGTCTAGTAATTGTTAAAACATGGAACATCGTTGTGTTCACTTTGTATTGGCCTATTTGGTGAGCGAGTGTTCTTGTCTGGATTCCGGCTTCAGTTTACCGTTGATGTCGTTTTCAGTTTATAATCGGCATCATCACGCTGGTTGATTTAGGCCGGCCAGCTCGTCGTGACCGGATACGTCTACCTCTTATACTTCACACAAATTATTAGGCTCTTGCCAGTCCGCGTACGTTTCATGTGTACCGACATGCGTGAAAAATGGTCGATGTCCATGCAAGTGGATGTTCTACTATGCTCTGATGTATCTATATGGCTTAACCGAAATTCAATGTGAATTTTTCAGCAGTCGATTTCTTTGAGAATCGCAACAATTATGGTAACGGTCCATATCATCCAATCCACTTTCTCTTTAATTTTGGCCATCTGGTTGAAAATAAGAAAGTCTTTATGCATCTTTAATGAGACGCAACTTCGAAATTGAGATGTAAAAGTTATATCTACGTTCTATTTTCGATCTACGAGAAATATAAACAAGAGTTTTACTTCAGCGAGGGAGATGTTAATTTGAGATTCCACCGCCAGGCCAAAATAGATATTTTATGAGAACAATCTAAACACGTAAAATACGCATTTCAATGAAGAAGATGCTCTTTATGTCATAATTTTACAAAACAGTTATAGATACTTTTGGTTAGACAATTGATATTGGCACTCTAAAATTTTTATTTTGTACTCAACCCTTCTTTATTTAGAGAAAAAAAAAACTTGTGAATAGTGCACAATGAGATTTATTACAAGAATAGTGACTATCAGGAGCGGATATAGTGGAATTGCCCCTATTAATTTTCATTAGGGGTGGAAATACGTATTTGCCTCTAGGGATGGCATTCAAATTGTTAAACCCAATAATTGTAGATAACTACTTGAATATTATGGATTTGTGTATAAAATTTCAGGTATATTTGGGATATAGGGAAAAACCATGAATATTATTCGGTTATTGTTTTGGATATGGTTACATGGGTCTCCAATTCGTATCCCCCATCAAATCTGACCAAATAACATATACTATATAAAATATAATGATATAATCTAATAGTATTATATTTATATATATATATATATATATATATATATTTATATTCATTCTTCACCGAACTCATTTGAGAATACAAAAGTTGCATTTTGTGGGAAAGTTCAAAAGTTTTGAATCAAAATTAATGAGAATTCAATAGTGTTTATGAAAGATATCAAAGATCAGCCAACGTCATCTATGTTTTAAATTCAATACTTTATTTTTTATACTTTACAAGATATGTTCACTGAATTATTTTATACATCAAATATTCCAAGTTTATTGTCTCTCTTCAAGAGTCTCACAGTCAAGAAATTGGTGAATATTTAAAGACAAAATTAATATCTACTAAATTATAGTTCGTCAATTGAATGAATATATTTTTTGTATTGACGAAAATAGATATAATAGTTAATTGATGGGAAGTTCGTTACCCGATGAGTATGGTTATGGATCCCCAATGGTTAATTTGTGGTTACGAATATAATTAATTTTCATGGTTATACAAATGGATATAAAATTTCTGTCCTTAAACTGAAGCGTTTCCATCCCTATTTGTCTAGAATAAAAATTATAGATGCGGAACAAAAAATGGCCTATTAATTCATTACTTTTAGTTCCATTAGGTGGATATCTGTATTTTTAATTTATATGTAATTTTTTTTTCTATTAAGAGGCGGTGAAAAAAAAAAAAAAAACACAAAAGCATTCCAAATGATCCCCCATATCTATATGGTTGCGCGCGCTCTTCCACGGCCGCAGAAACATTTCATCTCCCTTTTTCATAGTCCTTGATATTTTTTACTGGAGTACTCTCACCACCATAGTCGGCTCAACTACCATCTCGACAACGTGTGATGAGATCTGAACTACCCACCCATTCACCACCGTCGTTGGCTACCATCTCGACAACATGCGAGAACATTTGAAGAACCCACATCTGGTTACTTTCAGGTGAAACCAATAGTTCAGTATACCCACACAAATATAGTTTTGAAGAGGTTCAAGACTCGGTTCATATATAAATGGTAACTCTCTCTACCATCCATTGATTTTCATTTTAGGGCTTCTGAGTTTGTTTATGCGTACGTGATTGGGAACAATTTTATAGCTGAATTATTTTTCCGTGCTTATTGCAGATTGTTGAGTCATATATGGGATGAGAGGCTTATAAGAGGTTATGTTACTCTCTATATTGTCAATTGGTTTTATGATGGAACTTTAATTTCATCATGATATCAAGGCCGGTTGTCCCACGTGTGAAACCAAACGGCCACACGGGCTCTGTCTCACCCTATTGTTTGTTCAACCCTATTGTTTGTTCACGTGTTAGGCTTGAAAATTTACCACATATGAAGGGGCGTGTTGAGAAGACCTTGCATGAGCTTATAAGAGGTTGGGCTACTCTCTATATTGCCAATTGGTTTTATGGTGAAACCTCAACTTATTTATGATATCAAAACAGGTTGTCCCATGTGTGAAGCTAAACGGTCACACGAGCTTCACGTCACCCTGTTGTGTTGTTCACGTGTTAAGTTTGAAAATCGACACACATGAGTGAACGTGTTGAGAATGAATCTCACATTGTGGGAGGAGAGACCTTGCATGGGCTTATAAGAGATTGAGTTACCCTCCATATTGTCAATTGATTTGATGGTGGAACCCTAATTTCATCGCAACGATGATAACAAGGGCGACATAGTAGTCATTCACAGAGGCAAAAACTGATATGTATCCAAAGGATGGAAGATGCTTGTTTTTAATTTGCATCATTTGGGTGCTCAGAAGCAAAAGATTGCGGAACAGCCATTGGCTGTGATATGGAGGCCTTTGCAAATAAGTTTCCAGACTCAACTGGGAAATGACATACATGATTTATAACAAACCAGTTCAGACGATGACCAGAAAGCAAGCTACATGTTGGAATTAAACTCACGATTCATTTTATTAATGGTAAATGTGATTTTAATCCTTGCTTAAGATTATAATTAGAAAAATGTCTTATACAAGATTAAATATTGATTATAGTCCTTTGACTATACATCCATGTCAATATATATTATCCATGTCAGCTTTTATTTTTTTGGTGGTTTTATTGATTCTATTTTTCCAACATTGCCCATATGTGATTATGGACAATAACAAATTTTAAATGCTGAGTTAAGAGTGTGCAATTATTACTTAATATATTTTCAAATTTTGTCCATTTTAAACATAAAAGTTCAATTGTATGAATCTTTCATCGTCCTCTTCTATGGTGTTGTGCAGATTCGTTTCTTTGTCTAGGAAGTTTAGCATTTTCACTAAAATCGTGTACATGGGTTTTTGTTAGGATTTGTTGTTTGTTTGTGGAATACTTGATATATTAGTTCAATATTTGTATATGATATGCATATGTGTACTGCACATGGTTTCAAATGGTTCTCATGCCATTCGCTCCTCTATATTTTGGCGCACTATAGAAATGAGGTACATTAATCCAACATAGGTACCATGGTTGAGGTACATTAAAATTCTAATAATGTTTTTTTAATTTGCAGGTACCATGTATTAGGTACCATGATATAGGTGCCATGCTATAGGTACTGTGATATAGGTACCATGATTTAGGTACATTATTTACTTATTTGGTATGATGTATTCATTAAAATTTGATTTCTAGAGTTTTGTTTCGTTGTGATATGAAACTTTTTGAATTCTAATCAATACTTTCGTTTTCTTATTTGGTATGTATCTGAATTTCTTATTTTATAGGAGGAAATGAAGCCCTCAAATCAAATATTAATTGTGGGGGTATTTTAGGAACTAAAATACACATAAAGACATTAAATCCAATGAAATATGAGTTTTAATGTTAATTCTGAGGTGGACATCCAGTCAAGGGACTAATTTAAAATTTTTATCTTGTACCAGGTTTTTATGAAAAGTTGAACTATGCCAAGGATTAAACTCCACTTACCCCTTTTATTAAACTTTTCAACGTCAAACTGGGAAAAAAAAAACATTATAAATTCATTTATTCATGATTATCTCAGAAACAGGATCAGTGCTTTGTTGGTGGATTGACATAGCTTCCCAACCTCACCACGATCCCATCAAGATCTCTTACGTAACCCACTTTCTGTCCCCACTCTTTCTCTTCCGGCTCGCTCACCGGAACCGCCCCGTTCTCCACCGCCTTCTGCTCAAACCCAATTCACACAACAAAAAAGCAAATTAGTCACAACATACCATAATCGAACAACAAAACAAGAACACTGCTTGGTTCATTCCTTAAATCACAGTCGACTGCTTGGTTCATTCCTTAAAGTTGACGCGTATTCAGAAATAACACATTAAAAAGCATAAAGCATTTGTAATAATTCATAAATGCATGTCAAACTGTGATTTATCTTCACGAAAGAATGTCCGGTTCTAGGTAATTAAGGGTCATTGAAGAGCCAAATATTTTTTCTAATAACAATGACAAAAATAAGAGACATGTTAAGGCAGCTAATTAGGATTTTACCTTATAGGCAGCATCAACGTCACCGTACGCAAAGCAAACCTCAATCGGCTGCCTCTCGTGGCCGGAGCTTGGGGTCTTGACGGCACCTGTTAGATCATCAGTCTCGTGCTGGTGTAGCGGTGTGAATGCTATTGTCGTTTGCCCACTTTCCAACTCCCCCCACCTATCAACAATTAATATCATCACCATCATTATCATAAATTATTAAATTTCTTCATGATTATTTACAAAACCTCTGTATATGCAGTTATTAGGTACATGATAGAGAATTGAAAGAAAAAAATGATGTGAGAAAATAATTTCCCTAAAAACATGTATGTACCTGTTGGAGTCGTCCAAGCGACGAATATCGTAGCCGAAGGCTTTGGAATAGAAGGTTGTGGATTTCGCAACATCCTTCACGTAAACCACCGTATAGGCAAACACTGTGTTCGTCTTCGACGCCATCGCCATTTTTTGTTTTTTGATCGAGTTTTGTTTGTTTGATGTGTTTGAGCTTGTATTCAGGGGCGTTCATCAGTTTCGGTTTCACCGACTTTTGGATGTACGTGGCGAGTTGTGGAGAATTGGAATGTGCCACGTGGAGTCTGTGCATGTTGAACCAAAAGGTGCTGCCGCGTCGTCAGTGATTCAGTGTGAAGTGGCAACCAGGCCACGATTTGTTTGTTCCTTGACATGCAAATGCTCTTGACGATATTACAAGCTACAAGAAGGGTTTTAGGGTATTTTCTCCAAAGTAAAATATTTTTTTATAAACAATTAAAATTAAAAGAAAGTTTTAAGTGGGACTTTTTGTTGGAAGCAAAACAAAAAATATGATTTATTAATAAATGTATTAGAAATTACAAACTACTACTAATAATAAGGATAATGCAAATGAAAATGAAAAATATTAAATGAATAAAAATTTACTAACAGATAAATGATAGAGGCTTGCAAGGTTGCAATGTCCTTATAGACAGAAGTTTGGCCTCTACACTTTTGCAATAGTTCTTGTAGCCGTCATCAGGATTCAACTATCACAATCAAAGTCCTTGCACAAGAGGGCTTTGATTCTATCAAACATACTGAGTGTTTCTCTCCAAAATATTAATGTTATATGAAATTTTATAGACTTGGTTCACACCTTTTGGACGAGAATGAGCAACTGCCTTTTACAGTTGTATTGTTTGATTGATGTTTGATTTTGAGACCCCAAGGTCTCCGAGCCCACGAATAGTATCATGTTTGATTTTTTAATATAAAAATGTGATTTTTCATTAAAGTGAACAGTATCGCAAGTTTTTTGTTAAAACTCCCTTATTTGAATTGCTCTTATTATGGGCTGCATCTTTATCCATACCAAACTCTTTATCTATACTTAATTCAATACAGTAAGTCTACTTGAGTAAGACTTATAATTTGAATCTGCAAAAAACCCAATCCACCAGTGCAGATTAAAATAAACTCATGGGTTCCTTTTTTTTTTTTTTTTTTTTTTCTCCAGAAGCTTCCATGCTTCATAAGTTGTGAAAACTTAAACTCCCTTAAGTTCGTATATTTGCTTGGTTAATAATTAGGGCTCGACTTTAAGATCGATTACATACACAGTCTTTTAACTTTGACTCCTGTTCTGTCATTCGGAATCAGAGGTTTATTAATTGTCTTTTTGTCTCTTGCCCCTTTGCTTCTTCTATCTGGTCACATTTGTCCCAAGCCTTCTACGTTCAATGATTTTTTCGGGTTGGTTAGCTAATTTTCATAATTAGGGTCCCTCTTTTGAAGTTGCGCGAAAGCTCCTTTGCGAAATTCTTATTGATTATTGGCAAATATGGGAAACCAGAAATCCTATTCCCCACCCCGATTAGAGTCGTTATGTAAGGATGACAAGGATCAAGCCTTGAGCAAGGGTCAAGATACTGCCATGTGTCAATAGATTAGGCAGTATAGTTGTTAAAGTTAGTTAAGATTGTTAAGAAATAGATTGCTTAAGAAGTAATGTAACAAGTATAAAAGGAGATGATATGCTTGCATTAAAGTAAGAAAACAGGAATATATCAAAGAATACTCTCTCTCTCTCTCTGTATCTCTTTCTCTCTCAACCTCTCTTCTTCTCTCTTAGTTACACAGTCACCTTCTCTCTTAGTTACACAGTCACCATTGATGACCTTGATGCTGCGTACACTTTTTCAAGGGGTCCTATACTCAGGTGTCCAACTTTTCAATCAATCTTCATTAGTGCTTTCTTCCTCCTTTCTCCTATTTCCCCACGTATTAGATTCAATTATACTGGACTGGCTCTACTTGTGAATTCACTTTATAATTAAGTTTTATTTTCTTTCTAACGAAAAATCAATACAAAGAATCATATGAATTTATAAATGTGAGATGGTAATTGGTCAATATGCTAGTGGTGAGGGTTGTGGTGGTGACGGCAGAAGTGATGGTGGGTGGCGCGCGCTACAGAGATGTGATGGATGACAGTTGCAACGATGGTGGTTGGGGTGCCTGCGGCCATTGTGTTGGTGGTACACATATATTAAATGAATATTAAGTTAAGGTATTTTAGTAGTGTAACATATTAATCTCACTAAATAATTAACTTGCACCAAGGTTAAATGAGCTAAAAAAAACAATAAAGATATTGTATATATTGGCTAAAGCGGATCATGCTCGACTATGTACATGAGTTTGAATTTTTATTTTGCAATTTAAATTAACTTAAAGTGAAATTTGTCTTTTTAAGAGAATTAGATAAGCTACAACAAAGACTACAAAAGAAGTGGAGTGAAGTGGGATAATATCCTTGTCCTCGTCAGCTATACTTACGCTTTTGAATTATTACAGTAGCTAGTTGTACCATCTTTTTATAATACCAAGTCTCAAGGCCTCCTCACTAGTGAAGCCATAAGGCAGTCTTGCCACAACATCTTGAATCATACACTCTTTGACACTTGATATGCTTGCATGGTAAACTTGTAACCCAAGTCCCTTGAGTGCATTCATCAATCTAGCATAAGGGTAGTCTTGATCCGGACACTGAACTCGAATCATGGCTTGATTTGATCTCACAATCTTCACATCCAGTTCCAAAACACCAGCTCCTCTAACATTATCATTATTATTATTCTTCAAAGTATTATTATTATTATTATTAGTTGAACATTGATGATTTTGATCGGTTATGGAGCTGGTGCTTTGGCTGCTAGCCAGTAGGGTTTTTTGGGTTGGTTGTGCATAGATTTTGGCCTCCAATTCGTCAACCTTACCTTTGAGCTGGTTGATGTATGCCACGGCATCAGCGAGCAAAGAGGATCTGTCCATTTTTGACACATTGGGAACAACCGAACGGAGGAGACAGAATCGCTGGTTGAGCTTATCCCTCCTTTGTTTCTCTGCCTCAACATGGTTCAGCAGTTGTGATTCTCTACTTGTAGCTGCATGGTTTGATGATGATGATCGTCCTCTCTTTTTTGATCGAGGGTTCTCTGTAGTCGCAGGGGTGAAATTGCCAAAAGATTCATAAGGTGAGCCTGATGATGACCCGTCTGTATTGATAATGGGTTCATTTGGTCAAAAATTAATAAAAGATTGGTGTTAGTGAAAAATTAAGGGTTTGAATTAAGAATCCCGTGAATGTTTGGGGCTTGAGGTTTACCATTCTAAGTAAATTAAAGTGGTAATAATAATGCTTTTATTTAAACATTCTACTGACGAATTTTATCAGTACGGCAAAGATTATTCAGTACAAATAACTAGTTGATCATATCATTATCATTATTCTTCGGCATGTCCGGCCATTCAATTTATCAACAAATAATTATATTGATAAATTTTATTGACACTATATCGATAATGAAAGTATTATTCATATTATTTATAATCACCGATATCATCGATATTCAATTACATATTGTTGATGAAGGAGTTATTATTGACACTAAAAAATGCCATCATGCATTAAAATTTATAAAATCTCAAAGAAAAATTCAAGTAGAGTTTAGAAAGCGCACCCTAAATCTATTTAAATAGCTAGTTGGTGCTTACCGTGTCTGGTGAATTCTTTTTGACCTCCTGAAATCAATCCAATCTTTTCTAGGGGATCAGGAACAAGCAATTTCAATTTGTTGTTGTTGTGGTCGGATCCAAAGAGTGATTTTGATAGGTGCACAAGATCCCAATCTTGCGTGATCACATCCAGAGAAGCCAGTTCAATTACCCCACATGAAGTAGCAATACAAACTAAAGTTTGAATCCCATGCATTCTTGCTTCTTTCACTCTCTCACACTGATAGAACTGAAGCTCATTATCACCTGCAAGCCAAACAAAGCCACCAGAACAAAATGCACGCCCCAGAATATTATTACTCGCATGGCCTGCAGAAAATGATTGGGTAAAAGAAACACTGTAAAAGTAAAACCGATCAGAGTCAGTGACATCATATCCATGATTATTATCCACCAGCATGTCTTCAACATCATGAAAAAACCCCAACTCAACCTCTCTGTTAACTACCACCTTCTTGTTGTACCCAAATTTGGGCTGGTAACTATTGATCGGTCCGTTACTTCTGCTGTCGGATGCCGCGTGATCCTTAGGGTTTGAGAAATGGCCACCAGCCCACGATAAAGCAACTTGGTCGGTAGTGCTGTCTTTGGAGGCTTGCCAGAAAATTGAATAGACCCAGCATTCAGGCCTGTTCTGAATTATGAATTGGAGACGTTGTTGAAATGTGGAGAGGGTGTGGTCTTGACAGAAACTGGGTGAAGAAGAAGAGGATATAATCTCTTCCATGGCTATAATATCCAGTCGATCGGTTTTGTGACTTGTGAGTGTCGCCTACCTGAAGTGGATAACTCTCTTCCTTGGCTTACTAAATAAAGACTGAATGCACCGCAAGAAAAGTGAGCTTAAGACACGAGAGAGAAATCGTGTCTTCTTCCCTCAATAGCACGACATGCAGTGGTCAAAACCATTAGCCAAGCTGCAATTACCATTTTAGGGCAGGTGGCTTTTGCTTTTGGGGTGGCCATCGCTTGAAATGCCACCTTTGTATTTGTCTGAGACGCAACTTGGTTCACAGACCTATGGGCCCAATACTATCTTCTAAAACCAATTTTTTTCTGATTCTTCCTGCAACCAAATGAATAGATAAAGCCATTGAGTAGTACTGCATGTTGAAAAACACGCCTACTAGATCTTGTTTTTTAATGTAACTAACGGTAATAGATTAAACTAGCAAATATAGAAAAAATTAGAAACACACAAGAATTATACTGGTTAGGCAGAACTTTTACCTATGTCTAGTTGTGATTTCTTTAGGTAGAGAAATCATTGCTCCTTTGATTAATAATAGAGATTACAAAACTTTTGCAAACCCTAGAACTAATCTCAAAACTCTCGGCTGTTTCTGGTTGTTTTCTCTCTCTAAAAAATTAAGCCTTGCCGCACTTATTTATTAGGCATAGGATAGGCTTACATGTCCCAAGGCTGATTGAATTCCTATTTCTAAGTGGACTAGGAAATTACACTTATCCAAATCCAAATACATTTCTAGAAATCCAAACCTAAATTGAATAAGGAAAATTGAAATTCTTTCCTAATCCATCTAGGACAAGAATTGGTATGCGTCTAATTTTCCTAAAACAATCCTAAACCAATTAGGACATATTTGACGAGCCAAAATCCTAACAATCTCCACCTTGGTGAGTCAAACCAAGTCTTGATTGTTGCACCCCAGAGTATCTTTGAACCTTCTTGAAGTAGCTCTGGAAATCTTCAAGAGTCTTCACCTTGGCAATCTTCTTCTTGCCTCATTGCACCTCAAGTGAGGAGGTGCTCCACTTTAATCAATCAACGAGATCGATCAAGTTCAAGCAATGCTTGAACTTATTGGCCGGCACTATCTTTGTAAGGAAATTTGCGACATTGTCATCCGTATGAATCTTTTCATTCCAAATTTCCTTAGACTCCACCTAATCTCTGATTATGTGATACCTTGCTTCAATGTGCTTTGATCTTCCAAAAGAAAAGAAAAAACCTGATTCTTTGCCAAGTGAATGGCACTTTGACTATCACACTTAAGCTTCACACAAGCTTGAGTGATCCCATTTGACTTACCAAGCCACTAAGCCAAATCGCTTCCTTTCTAGCTTCGGCCAATGCAATATACTATGCCTCTGTGGTCGACAAAGCTGTAATTGGTTGCAGTAGTGCCCTCCAACTGATTAGTCATCATGTGCATGTAAACACATAACCAAAAGTTCCTGCATAATCGACATCCACATATCCTAACACCCATGCATTTTCTTTTTTCTTTTCAAACATAATCCTTTGTAGCCAAGAACCCTTCAAATAACGCAAAATCCACTTGACTGCATCCCAATGTTGCTTTCTTGGATTTGCCATGTATCTGGAAACGACACTGATTGCTTAAGCTATGTTGGGACGTGTGCACACCATTGCATACATGAGGCAGCCCATGTCATTAGCATAAGGCACCTTCTTCATTACTTGTTGCTCTTCCTCGGACTTAGGACATTGTTGTCCACTTAGCCTGAAATGAGTCGCCAAATGAGTCGAAACTATCTTTACTTCTTGCATGTTGAACTTCTCAAGAACCTTCTTAATATACTTGGCTTATGATATCCAGATCTTTCCAGCGGTCCCATCTCTCTGAATTTCCATGCCAAGGATCTTCTGTGTAGCACCTAAATCTTTCATGTCAAACTGCTCACTCAATATCTTTTTCAAGTCTTGAATTCTAGACTTGTCTTGACAAGCAATTAGCATGTCATCCACATATAGCAATAGTAATATGATCATCCCATCTTAGAACACATGATAATACACACAACAATCATATAAACATCTTCTAAAATTGATTTTCAGCATGAAAGAATCAAACCTCTTGTACCACTGCTTTAGAGACTGTTTCAGGCCATACAGGGACTTCTTTAGCTGACATACTAGGTTTCTTTCCCATATTCAACAAACCCTTATGGTTGAGCCATGAAAATCGTTTCATCTAAATCCCCATGAAGAAACACTGTCTTCAATTCCATATGCTCAATCTCCATGCCATGCTGAGTTGTCATTGCTAAAAGTAATATGATAGAAGTATGCTTGACTACAGGTGAAAAGATCTCATCATAATCCACCCATTCCTTTTGTGAGTATCCTTTAGCCACGAGCCTTGCTTTAAATCTCACGACATCTTGTTCATGTAGTCTTTTTTTTTCTTCCTAAATACCCATTTGCATCCAACTAGCTTCCTGTATTTGGGCTTAGGAACCAACTCCCAAACAGAGTTCTTGTAAAGAGACTCCATTTCTTTTGTCATAGCACTTATCCAACTATCTCTCTTATCACTTACTATAGCTTCTCGATAAGTAGTTGGATCTCTTTGACTAATATGAAGAGCATAATTAACTTTGTCTTGGTCAAACCTCAATCTGTCAGGTTTCTTTTTGTTCCGATTAGGTTTGTCCAGCGCTATGCATCTCTGGAATGCATGTGAATTGTTGGTTGGAGTTCGAACCCTTTGGGATGTCTGGCGGATTGGAGTGCATTCAATCTGCCCTGTTTCTTTCTCCACTTGATTCCTAATTGGTGAACGATGTTGATGCTCTTCTTCTTCATCAAAACCATCAGATTCGGCATCTTGCTCGATTTGCTCCACCTGAGCTTCTTCATTTGAACTAATTAATGGAATCTTTGTTGCTTCAATTTCAACATTGTCTGTCTTCTCCCTACTGCTTTTGACTTTATTTAAAGGCATGGTTATCTCATCAAAGACAAAATCTCGACCGACAACCTTTTTCCTGTTGTTGAAATCCCAAAGCTTGAAACCCTTAACTCATTTCTCAAAACCTAAGAATATGCAATGTGTAGACTTCGGTTTGAGCTTGGACCTTTCATCACTTAGAATATGTGCATAAGCACTACAGCCAAACACCCTGAGCTTGGAATAGTCTACCAGTTTCTCATACCATACCTCTTCTACACTTTTAAAACCAAGAACTGCAAATGGTGACCTGTTAATCAAATAACTTGCATGATTAACAGCCTATGCCCAAAAACTATCAGGCAATCCTGCAGAAATCACATGCTCATCTCTCTCTCATGAGAGTTCGGTTTATCCTCTCAGTAGCTTCATTTTGTTGGGGATTATTCTTTACTGTAAGTGCCTTATGATGCCTTCCTGCTTGCAGTAATCTTACTTGTATATTCACCTCCATTGTCACTTCTCAAGTACTTGATCTTTCTTCCAGTTTGAATCTCGGTTTCTGTTTCCATTCCTTGAACTTTGCAAAAACCTCGGATTTCTGCTTCATGAAATAAACCCAAACCTTCCTAGAAAAATCATCCATGAAAGTAACAAAATACCTGGCTCCACCATTTAATTTAGTTGGTGTAGGGCCCCAAACATCTGAGTGAATATAGCTGAATTGCTCATTGCTTCGGTTATCTACACTGCTACTTGCGAATGATACCTTTCTTTATTAAGGAAGATAATAAATCTTCCATTTCTGTTGATGTAAAATAGTTTAGCAAAAGTTAAATGTGGTTGGTTTGTTATTAACTGTAGTTAGTTAGAATGGTTACAAGTTCAGTTAAGGTAGTCAAGGGTATATTTGTAAAGAGCAAAATGCTATATATATTATCTTCTGTGTAATTGTACATTTGTGAAATGAAATACAGTCTTATTGAAGAAGTCTTATCTTTCTATATGGTCTCATCGCCAGTCGCCTCACGGCTCCTCTCGATCCTCTTCTCTTCCGCTCCGATCTTCTAATCTGTATCTAGATTTGTTCTCTGTGGCGTTTTTTGTTCTGCACCTTGTTGATCTTGATCTGTTTTCATGGTGACTTCGTCTGAGTCGGTGCCTGTTCCCAATCCCTTTTCTAACCCTAGTTCATCTTCGAACCCTAATTCCTCTTTGTATTCCTCTCTCACGATCCAAAATATTGGCAGTATGGTGCCAATCAAGCTCAAGAGGACCAATTATCTGCCGTGGTGTGCTCTGTTTGCTCCGATTCTTCGACGTTATCGTCTTCTTGGTATCGTCGATGGCACCGAACCCTGTCCTGCTCCTCTTCTGCCTGATCGTACTCTTAATCCGGCTTTCGAAATTTGGTATGAGAAAGATCAGAATCTTCTAATCTGGTTTAATTCCACGTTGTCTGAAGAGGTAATTCCTGTCACAGTTGGTGTTTCGTCTTCTCGAGATCTGTGGCTTAAGCTTGAACAACGATTTGGGGGTATCTCTGATGCACATGTTCATCAGCTTCGTTCTCGCCTTCAAAGTGTTCAGAAAGGTTCTCGATCCATGTCTGATTATTTGCAAGAACTCAAAGAGATCTCCGATTCTCTCACTGCTGCTGGAGCCTCAATTTCTGATCGCGATCTCATTGCTGCTACTCTGGCTGGTCTTCCTGATAAATTTGAATCTTTCACCGACTCAATCATGCTTCGGTTATTGTCTACATCTTTGGATGAACTACATGGCTTGCTCCTTACCAAAGAGCTTTCTCTGAATCGTCGCAAGAAAGTTGTCTCTTCTGGTATGTCTGAACCATTTCATGCCTTATCGATTCAGGCTTAACCTCCACTTCTTCCCACCCCTCCACAGGTGTATGTTGCTCAGAATCAACCCCTTCAGCACTATTTTCGTTACAATTCCAATCGTGGGAAGCAAAATCATGGTAATCGAGGTTTTCATCGTGGTAATTCTTTTACTGGTGGTTTTAATCGTGGTAACTCTTTCACTGGTGGTTTCCATCGTGGTAATTCTTCCAATCGTGGTTCTTCCTCTGGCCCTCGGGCTCCTTGTCAGATTTGTGGTAACTCCAGTCATGAAGCGCTTGACTGCTTTGACCGGATGAATCCTGATATCTGTGGTCGAATCCCCCCTGCCAAACTTCAGGCAATGTGTGCCCGTTCCGATGCCAAGTCCTATCCTACTTGGTTAATTGACTCAGGAGCAACCTCGCACATTACTAATGATATATCAAATATCACCTATCTTATTCCCTACACTGGTGAAGACAAAGTTTACATCGGTGATGATAAAGGTCTTCCCATTTCCCATGTTGGTTCATCTACATTATGCACCCCTACTTCTTCTTTTACATTGTCTAATGTTCTTCATGTTCCTCATATGCAACACAATTTGCTGTCTGCTTTTCAATTTCTCCGGGACAATTATTGTTCATTGACTCTTGATTCTAATGGCTCCGTTGTTAAGGATCGTTCCACGGGGAATACGCTTTTGCGGGGTTCCATTAAAGATGGCTTCTATCCTTTGCAGTCTACTACATCATCTAGTTTTGTTTCTGGTAAAACTTCTCCTTCCCTTGCTGCATCAGCCTTTGTCAGTATTAAAGCTCCAATAAAGGTATGGCACAGGCGATTGGGTCATCCATCTTCTGCCATTTTTCGTCGGGTAATGTCTACTACTACTCTTGCCGTCCAAGGCCGGTCTACCGTTGATTTTTTCTGTTCCGATTGTGCATTGGCAAAGAACCACAAGCTTCCTTTTGGCCTTCTTCTTCAGCAACTACTCATAGTCTTCAACTTTTACACTGTGATTTGTGGGGACCTGCTTCTGTTACATCTAGCAGTGGTTTCCGATATTACTTACTTCTTGTTGATGACTTTAGCAAATACAGCTGGTTTTTCCCTTTGAAGGCCAAGTCGGATGTATTTTCTACGTTTGTTGTTTTCAAGAATTATGTAGGAAATTTGCTTGGTAATAAAATCAAAGTGTTGCGTTCAGATTCAAGGGGTGAATTCACTGGTCATTCTTTTGCATCTTTTCTCAATGAGCATGGTATTTTTCATCAATTAAGCTGTCCACACACGCCTGAACAAAACAGCTATGCTGAGAGAAAACATCGACATCTTGTTGAGACCGCCCGGACCTTACTTGTTGCTTCTCATGTTCCTCATGTATTTTGGGTCGAGGTTTTCTCTACTGCCTTGTATCTCATTAATCGTCTTCCCATTTCTGGTCACTCGCAATCTCCTTGGGAAATTTTATTTCATCAGCACCCGGATTATTCCAAACTCAAAGTCTTTAGTTGCCAATGTTTCCCATGGCTTAAACCTTATGTTCACAGTAAATTGGATGCTAAAAGCAAGAGTTGTGTATTTTTGGGCTATAGTCTTCAGCACAAAGGTTATCGGTGCTTTGATCCGGTTGACAACCGAGTTTATATCTCCAGACACGTAATCTTTAATGAAGCAGTCTATCATTTTCAGTCTCTGCAGCTTCAATCTTCTCACTCTGACAATGTTCCTCACGTGTCTTCTTCTTCGATGGATCTTTATTTTCGCACGAATACTCATCCTGGTGCGTCTCCATCTCCTGATGCTTCTTCACCTCCTGCTGCTCCTTCCACTACTGCTGCTTCTCCACCTCCAGCTACTTCTCCATCTCCAGCTACTTCTCCGCATTCCGATGCTTCTCCACCTGTCTCTACCTCTATGGTCAATATTCATCCTATGGTTACCCGATCCAAAGCCGGCATCTACAAACCTAAGGCTTATACAGCCACTAAGCATCCTCTATCCGTTGTCATGGATTCAGTTCCCAGTACTTATCTCCAAGCATCTAAGTTTCCTCACTGGCGAGCTGCTATGCAGGATGAATATAATGCCTTACTGTCTACAGGCACTTGGTCATTAGTTCCTTCGAATTCCTCTCAGAACATTGTTGGCTGCAAGTGGGTATTTCGGGTTAAGCAGAAACCTGATGGTACTGTGGATCGTTACAAGGCCTGGCTTGTTGCCAAAGGCTTTCATCAACAACAGGGCATTGATTTCCAGGAGACTTTCAGTCCGGTTGCTAAACCGGTTACCATTCGAATCCTTCTTAGTCTTGCTGTTCAACATAATTGGTTTTTAAATCAGTTAGACATCAGCAACGCCTTCCTTCATGGTGATTTAAAAGAGGATGTCTACATGATTCAACCCCCGGGTTTTATTGATCCTCTTTTCCCCAGTCATGTGTGCAAACTTCAAAAATCGCTTTATGGTCTTAAGCAAGCCCCTAGAGCTTGGTTTGAAAAACTATTTCGAGCTTTGCATGATCTTGGCTTCCATCAATCTTCTTCTGATGCATCTCTGTTTGTCCTTCATAATCCTAAGCTGGTTATCGTTCTTGTTTACGTGGATGATATTCTCGTAACTGGCCCTGATTCTCATCTCTGTCATCAATTCATTAATCAGCTTAGTACTCGATTTCCAGTGAAGGATCTTTGTCCTTTACACTATTTCTTGGGGCTGGAAGTTCAGCGATCTTCTAAAGGGATATTTCTTCATCAAACTAAATATCTGCTTGATCTTCTTCAACGGACAAATATGCAAGGTGCAAAACCTTGTTGCACACCTCTTGGCTCCAATAAACTGGATCACACTGGTTCTCTTCTCCCTAACCCCACCGAGTATCGTTCTCTTGTTGGAGGTCTTCAGTATCTCACGTGGACTCGACCGGACCTTGCTTTTGCTGTCAATCAGCTCTGCCAGTTTATGCATGCTCCGCGTGAACAACATTTTCAAGCTGCCAAACGAGTTCTTCGTTTTCTAAAAGGTTCTGTCTCTCAGGGATTATGGTTTACAAAGGGTCTTGTTGATCTCTCAGCATATTCTGATGCTGATTGGGCTGGCAGCCCTTTTGATCGGCGCTCAACCAGTGGCTACTTTGTTTTTCTTGGTCCTAACCTCATCAGCTGGAGTGCCAAGAAACAGAGTACTGTCGCCCGTTCTTCTACCGAAGCCGAATATAGGTCTTTGGCTCATACAGCTGCAGAACTCACTTGGGTTTGTAAAATCCTTCGTGATCTTCACTGTCCTCTCCCCAAACTGCCTATCTTATGGTGTGATAACATTTCCGCCATCTCTTTAGCCTGTAATCCTGTTTTTCATGCTCGCACTAAGCATGTTGAGATTGATTATCATTACATTCGCGAACTGGTTCTTGCTAATCTTCTCAAAGTCCAGTTTGTTTGCAGTGCTGATCAACTTGCTGATCTTCATACAAAATCCCTGTCTAAAAATCAGTTTCGATACCTGTGTTCCAAGCTTCCCGTTGGCATCAACTCTGATTCCTCCTCTCGCTTGAGGGGGTGTATTAAGGAAGATAATAAATCTTCCATTTCTGTTGATGTAAAATAGTTTAGCAAAAGTTAAATGTGGTTGGTTTGTTATTAACTGTAGTTAGTTAGAATGGTTACAAGTTCAGTTAAGGTAGTCAAGGGTATATTTGTAAAGAGCAAAATGCTATATATATTCTCTTCTGTGTAATTGTACATTTGTGAAATGAAATACAATCTTATTGAAGAAGTCTTATCTTTCTATATTCTTTGCTTTCCAAGAACACAGTATTCTCAAAAGTCCAATTTGCAAGATGACATGCCTTCTATCAGACCTTACTTGTGTAATTCTTGTAACCCTTTATGGCTTATGTGCCTTAACCTATGATGCTAGAGTTCAGTCTTGTCTTGTACACTCTGATTTTCAGAAATAGCTGCTCCGCCGACTATAGTGGTGCTAATTAACTTATACAACTTAATGGGTTGTAGGTCACCTTGCATTACCACTAATGACCCTGGTTACCCTGAGTCTTCCTTTTTTAGACTTGTACCCATAACTAGCCTCATCTAAAGTACCCAAGGTGTTGAACAACAAAAATATATAACATATAAAAAAATAAAGTCCATACAAATTGGCTCAAACTTCAAGACAAAACAAAAGATGTAATCTAGCCCCAAAAAAATGAAGATGGGCTTTACATACAAATCAACATCCATAAATAAATAAATAAATAAAAAATATACATTTCTTCCTACAAAAAGGGGAAGAAACGTGCAAAACAGGAGCTTCCCCATTTTTCTGCAACAAAAAGAAAGGTGGAGTCATTAAGGGGGGTTAAGAGAAAGTGGCGGAAAAACATGGCCTCTATCTCCCCCACGTAAGAGCATTAGAACCCTCCTACGATGTCTATAAATAGGCATCAGTTGTAGTAAGAAGGGGGGAACAAAAAAAAAAAAAAAAAAAAAAAAAAAAAAGAGACCCTGCAGAAATTAAGAGACAAATTGAGAGACAAAAAGAACGCTGCAAAAATTGAGAGACGACGGCGAAGAATGGACTGCAAAAAAGAAAAAGCAAGAAAGCAAGGGGTAAACCAATAAAGCATTTAAAAGGTAAAGACCCATTTTTCTAAATTTCTTTGTTTAGTTTCTTTCGGTTTTGCAGGAGAAAAAGAAGCACTTTGCTTCTTCAGCCTCTCCCATTCCCCGAAGCAAAAAAATGACAGTGGAGACTCTAAAGAAGCAACCCCAAATCCTTTCTTTCTCTCTCTCTCTCTCTCCCGGATTATTCACCAAGACCCACAAAGAAAGCTTGGGAAATCTCTCTCTTCCCTGCTCAGCCGATGGCAGTAAGTGTTGATGCAGCATCAACCGTTGATCAACGCCGATGACAAAATCCAAGCCACGAGTGGTGGCAATGGAAAGCCTACAACCATCGCTAGCGCAGCGATGACTGACGGGGAACCCACCAAAAGCAACACGCTGCAACAACCGCCAACGTCAAATGAGAGCCAAGACGGACGCAGCAGCCGTGCGCTATGATCCTTGGAAGATCAACATCCATGAACCACAGTAACCCCATCAGCCAACAGCAGCAGAAGACAGCCCTAAGGCCTCCAAGACGTTGGAATGGATCTAACACCACCGTCATTGTGCCTTCGCCATCATCAACGCCTTACAACCTGTGAGCATGTGTTAAGGTCAAACAGCCGTGGTCGCATCTTCAAAGACAATCCCGCTTCCCGTATTATAGAATTAATGGTGCTATGCACAACAGTCTCGCTGAGAAAGAAAGCCACATGAACTCTCAAGGAACAATCACCGCTCACCGCCGTCGCCATCCCGAATGCAAGAAGAAAAGTTGCTGATCAGACAAAGATGTCGCCCGCACTGGAAAAGAAGACTGCACTAACGTGCAAAGTGTGTCATGTAACAATTGCCATCCAAATCGCTAATGGAAATGAGGGTCATTTCCTTGCTGCTAATAAAGAAAGAAAAAAAGTAATAAGTTGTACTGCTCTGAGATATGCACCTCTAAAATATCGGAGACAATAAGTTAAAGGCTTCACCTAACCAAAGCAAATGGATCACTGTATGCGTACAAGTTCAACGTCAAAAGAACAAGAGTAAAGCTTTCTATATATATGTTTAAAGGCATTGATAAAAGAAAATGAGCTCTGTCATTTGTTTTTATATTTCTATATGAAAGCAAGGACATACTATGCTATTATGCTGTTGTGCTACTGTGCAAAGATCAAAGGCAGCAACAAAGTGACGGACATGAAGACAAAATGAAATGTGTACATATGATGTGGTTGTTCTCGATCCAAAGACAGCACGTGAGGTGAATTGAAGATGGTCTGAAGTTGCAATTAAAGTTGCAGTATATAAGACAAAACGAATGCAAGTTACAAGGAACTTGATGACTTTAAGGCTAGCCATCTGAAGCAAAAAAAAAGGTGCACCATCACCAATCAAATTTGTGACTGCAAAGATGGCATTTTTTCTCAAAATCATGCACATGGTCACTTTTAAAAAGATGGGCAAATTGTCCCCCAAATGAATTCCTCCCCACAACAAAAGGAAGAAATGAGTTTAAAACTCAAAAGAAAAGAAGACATGTTCATCCATGCATTAGAAGACAAACAAAGAGAAAGAAACAGCAAGGGAGGGAAATAAAAGCTCCTCTAAAATTTGGAATGCCACTCACGTGGGAATGCTGCTTACTTAGAACAAAGGAAAGCCACGACTCCTTATCTAAATTCATATGGGCTTTGTAAATTTAGAATTTAATCAAAGCATGGAGACAAAAACTACAAGCCAGAAGCAAAGGAAAGGAAAGAGTTTAAAACTCAAAAGAAAAGACAAGTAAAACAAGTCTTTTTCACAATGAGAAAACGAGGGGCCAACTTTCATGCTTTCAAAAGTCCTATTTCAAAAAAGATTGAATTCCTATGAAACACATTGGAGAATGAAGCTGCAAAGGAAGAGAAGAAAGTTCCAGCCAAAAATACAAAAGAGAAAAGTAAGATTAAAAAATGTCGATGTGGTATTCTTTTCTTATGGGCAGGAAAGTCACTCACGTAGCAATCTGCAGGAAGGTCATTCACATGGCATTCTAAAAAATTCATAGCTCCCCATCCAAATTTATATGGGCTTTGTAAGTGAGTAACCCCATGAATTTGAATTTTGACCAAGTATTAAATGGCAAGGGGATGGTGCATTCCAAGACGAAAAGAAATATAAAGATAATATCAACATTATGAAGATAATGTCGGCATCAAGTTGGTAGACACACATCACTTCAAACATCATGATGCAAACCATCTCAGAACACAAAGATCGATGGTACTCCGCGACAAATCTCAAATGGCACGAAGCCGTATCAAGTATCAAAAGGCACGAAGCCGTAACAAGACTTAAATGGCACGAAGCTGCATAACGCTCCAATGGCTTAAAGTCCTCGCCCGCATGAGCTAAAACTGCACAAGGCATTAACCGCTCTAATCCTCGCCCCATATGAGCTAAAACTGCACAAGGCATCAAATGATCCAATGGCTTAAAGTCCTCGCCCGTATGAGCTAAAACTGCATAAGGCACCAATAGCTCCAATAGTTCCAAGTCCTCGCCTGCACGAGCTAAAATTGCACAAGGCATCAAACCTTAACAAATACATAAGGAACTACGAGTGACTTGATCCCTCAACGAGGGTACGTAGCCAATCTAGGGCTTGACCTAGGTGCAGTTACAAAATCAAATAAACACCCAAATCCCCAAATTACGATTTATTCAAATTGGACTCAAAGGGTATTCTTTTCCCAAAAGAATGGTTGTAATTAATAGGTACGTAGCCTAGAATTGGTCGAACTCGAATTAATAAAAACCCTCTTTGGAAAAATGAACGAGGGTGAAATTGTGTCGAGTGAATTATTTGTATACATATTATGTACAATTTTTGCTCAACACAAGGAAATCAAATTCTTTCTTAGTCTAGGGACATATCTAACGTTCCTCAAAGCTCGTATCATCCCATCGAACATTCTGATTCAAACAGTGCTGATTCCTCTTACAGGACATGAAAAATCGTCCCCCATTAAGACTTCCCCGCTGCTGACTTCTTTGTAAGTATCGAACCATTCTTTTACTGCATACATATGAAAAGTGGATCCGGTATCCACAATCCAATTTGTGAAAGCCTTGAAGCCTGATGTTACTGAAAAAAAACTCATCGTCACTCTCATGCTCGATGACTGCACTAGCTGAACCTGAGCTTCCTTCCATCTTGGCTTTCTTCTCTTTCCAAATCTTGCAGTTCATCTTCCAATGATCGGCTGAACCACATTCAAATCAACTTTCCTTCTTTTCCTTTTTCTTCTTGGATTTTGACCTACCTCTGTTGCCGGTTTTCCCTTCCTTTGTCTTTTCCCACCCCTCTCTTTGCCTTTGGCATAAAGGCCTTGAGAGCTTTCAATTACATCATCCAGTTTAACATATGACTGAAGAGCTTAAATTACGTCTTCAAGCTTCAGGGACTTTTTTCCAAACATTAGAGTTGTTCGAAAATGCTTGAAAGACGAAGGTAAAGACCTCAACAAGATGATAGCTATATCATCATCTTTGTAAGCTTTTTCAACCTTATGAAGATTAGCTATGCAATTCTGGAACCTGCTCATGTGATCTTTAATATCACCTCCTTCTTCTAGTCAAAGCCCGAATAGTTCATCCTTTAGAAAAAGTTTATTGGACACGGTTTTGCCCATATAAACATTCTCCAACTTTTCCCATGCTTCGTGGGCAGTCATTTTTCGGTGATGTGTGACCGAACTGATCTTGTGAGATGGATCTCGATGAAACTCTTGGCCTTCTTGAGAACCTTAGTCCATGCTGCTTCTGTCATGTTTTTCGGTTTCTCACCATCGAGTGCATCGTCCAAATCCTGTTGTATCAGTGCGTTCTTTATCATCCTTTGCCAATCCATGAAGTCATCATTACCGTCAAAAGGTTTAAAGCAGGTCCTGGATCCGCATTCATCTTCCCTTTTGACATTGTAAAACACCTTGATCCTAGCTCTTGATACCAATTGTTGAAAAACACACCCACTAGACCTTATTCTTTAATGTAACCAACAACAATAGACTAAACTAGCAAATATCGAAAAAACTTAAAAACACACAAGAATTATACTGGTACGGCAGAACTTTTGCCTACGTCCAGTTGTGATTTCTCTAGGTAGAGAAATCACCACTCCTTTGATTAATAATAGAGATTACAGAACTTTTGCAAACCCTGGAACTAATCTCAAACTCTTGGCTGTCTCTGGCTATTTTCTCTCTTTAAAAAATTAAGCCTTGCCACACCCAATTTATAGGCATAAGGTAGGCTTACATGTCCCAAGGCCAACTGAATTCCTATTTCTAAGTGGACTAGGAAATTACACTTATCCAAATCCAAATAGACTTCTAGAAATCCAAATAGACTTCTAGAAATCCAAACCTAAATTGAATAAGGAAAACTGAAATTCTTTCATAATCCCTCTAGGACAAGAATCGGTACAACTCTAATTTTTCAAAAACAATCCTAAACCAATTAAGATATATTTGACGAGCCAAAATCCTAACACTGCAAATAAAGAATAACCATGCCATCATTCATGTGTTTTCCAAGGGGAAAAATAAACATAAACATATAAGCCTTGAATTCTGTTTGTGCTCAAATCTGTCCAAATTTAAAGCCAAATTATAACTTTTTATAGTCTGGCTAGCATCAAGTCTTGCTTTGGCAGTGAAGGAAACAATTTATTTTTTGTATCGGAGGTGATAAATTGGAGAGAAAATATTTTAGGCGGTGAAAGATTTTGTGCCAAATTCTTTATATAATCAATTTAATTGCAGCTCTTTCCCATCGCAAGTGAATTTGGGGCGGTGGAATGTTCATCAAGCGGCTTTAATCCCTTATATAAAGGATGCAAATGCAACGGGAAGGAATCACCCAAACAATCGACCAAATACTCGATCTCTCAAAACTAACAACTGCACCGTTACATTCACTTTTCCATTTCAAAGCTTTATCCAATATTGCAAGCTCTTTCATCTTTTAATCCATCATAGTTTTGTTGTCTTTACAAGTAATCCTCTTTAATACCTCCCTGTAATAGTTACTAGCATTTCAATACAAGTTCTCTCTTTGAATTATTGTTGTCATTTCAATACAAAGCACTTACACTACTAGAATTTGCCTCATAGGCCACCATTTTTTTCCCACCCTTTGCAATTGGTGGCCATATATGTAAAGTTGCTACTCTTACAATTTTTTGGTGGCTTTACCATGGGATGCCACTGATGTTGGTCGCCTTCAAGATTCAGCCACCAATCATTGGTGGCTGTTAAATATTTTTATTTCTTAAATTGTATTTCCTTCTACTTTTTAATTTCATATGTATTTTTTAATTTATTTTGTGTGGCAGGGCAGGTTAATTTTTTTGTTTATAAAGCTGGGATATATCTTTGCTTATCAGGACCTACGGATGCACATCTAATACAAAAGGGAGATAGAGCCAAAACCCATAGAAGGACAGAGCCTTCGACCCTACTCGCATGTATCGGCCATTATTGCATCAGTGATGAAGTCGACCGGTTCTGCGAACCAGCCCCAGTCGGGCAATGCGGACAGGGCGTAGCGGAGAAGAAGCTTAGTGGCCTCGTTTAGTTGGCGACTCGAGGGGTCAACGGAAGTCCGCTCCCACGCGGCTGGGTATTTGCTTCGCATACCTTGCCCTGTCAATTTCTCAGCAAATTAAGCTCCTCAGTTCATTATTTATTATCAGCTGGGTTTCTTGCAATCAATTTGGGGTTGCAACCAACTGGATTGATTTTGGGGAGTCTAAACAGGTAATTTTGTGTTCCACAAATTCAATATTCAGCATTTTTTAGACTAAACATTTCAATTTGTTTATTATGTCTGCGATTCTGTTGGAGTTTTTTGTTAGTTCAGTTTGAAGTGCTTCTTCTATCTGTTCAAGTTGGAACAATCTGGAAACCATACAGGGTTTAAGCCTATTATTGTTATCTATCTGTTGCTAGTCCTACTTGTGAGTTATGTTGTGCATTGCAGTAGTTTAGGACCACTTTACGATGTAATCTAGCGGATGATAGTTATTACCGGGGGTGGGGGAATAAATTCATAACTGAGGTGAATGCTAAATATTGTCATCGAGCAAGTTGAATGGCAGTGTTCTTATAAGCCATTTAGTGTACGATTTAGGCAACAGATGTCTTGTGGTTCTGTAATTTGGAAGATGGGTACACAACGAGAGTTTCGCAAGTGTGGTGACTGCTAAATATTGGGATTGAGTGAGTTGATCCGTTAATTGACACAACTAATGGTGGTGCTTTCTTGTAAGCCATTTGGTGTCAACGGCAACATCTATCTTGTGGTTCTGTATTTTGAAGATGGGCTATGGACAAGTGTTTTCCTCTACATGATCTTGTGTGATGTTATCAATTTCCACATAATTAGGATCTTCTTTGGTCTGGTTATAGAAAGGGTGAAACCTTTTGTTTTGCTCCTTCTAGTTTCTATATCTACCAATCCGCTTTGACTTGCGTCATATTATTGTAGTGAATATTGGGTTTTCTGAGTTCTGTACTTTCTGCTATGATACCATTTTACTCGTTTGTTTTTTCTTCTTAAGCAAAAAAGTAGCTCTAATGATACAAGCTTACCGTACATATTACACGTCTTGACAACTGCTATACTTCTTAAGCAAAAAAGTAGCTCTAATGATACAAGCTTACCGTACATATTACACGTCTTGACAACTGCTATACTTGAATTTTGTAAGGCGAATGAGTTGGTTTAGTATCTAGGATGTCGACTCGGGTCCATCTGCCTGGTTTAGAAAGTGTTCAGCACGAAGTTACTGTTTGTTTCAGTGTTGACAAGTTTTATTGTTTTCTGTTTTTAGAGTAATTGAGTCTGTTATTTTGGGCTTGGCTTTTTTTCCTTTTGAATTGGGACTTTTTTATCGAACAGGATGTTGGTCTCAATTTCATTTTTCCTGTGGTTGTTCAATTTATCCTGGGAAGAAAAAAATTTATTATAAATTTTTACAATGTCTTGGATTGTGAAAGTGATGATATACCTTCATTATTTGCAGGGACAAAGTTCTTTGTTGTCTCTGAGCCTGGGACACAGCACATGGAAGGTCTCTTGAAACATATCTATGAGCTGTACACGGATTACGTCTTGAAGAATCCCTTCAACTCCACTTCAAGGTTCCTGCATCTCTTCCTGTCCCTAACTTCTTCCGCACCTAATTTTATAAGCTTCAGGGAAATATTTGCAATCTAGTGCTTAAGCCTATCTATCTGTTTATTTATTTTAACTTGTGTTTCAGTTGTTTTTAGAATGAATACAATTCAAATGCTTGCCTGATTATTTGGTAAAAGTGCTTTTCTGTGAATAATCATTTCTTAACTGTGCTTTTCTATGAATAATCATTTGGTAAATATATCTTCCTTCAATTCGTGCCTTTTTATCAAATGGTGCAAATCAAGATATGTGAGGTTTTGAACAATGGACTTTTAACCATTCTAGAATGGAACACTTAAACCTCTATACATAGATACAAATTTGGAATGAAACACGATTCACATTCCTACAAATACTATACAAATGTTGTATACAAAACATACTAAATACCTCTACATTTTAAACTAATGACTGCCTGACCGACATTACTCAGTATATGAACTTTTTCCTTAACTTCTTTTGGTGACTTTTATGACCTTCTTACTATCCCCTGCACCCTAAAATCCTATGCAAGACTCATATATACAATGTCACTCATAAATGCGATTGGAGTTGTTTTCCCACTTACAAAAATTGATTTCTAAAATAATATACTCTCCCTTGCAGTTGCTTATGTAAATTCTGTCCATATAGTATTCACATACTATATTTACTTAATTTGTTTACGTTACATATTTTACTTGCCTTTTTCATCTTTAGGCACCTTGTTGTTCCAATTCTAGAAACTATTGATTATACTCAGTGATGATGGACAAAAGTTGGGCCTCTTTCAATCCGTTTACAGAGGATTACAGAACAGGGCTAGCAAAATTTATCTCAAACTCATTGGAAGTTGCTTCTCATGAGGGGAACATCAAATGTCCGTGTGCTAAATGCTTGAATAGGTTATGGTTGAGTAATAAAGAAGTCGAAGCGCATCTAATTGTTGAAGGTATGGACCGTTCATACTTGCAAGGCTCGTGGGTATGGCATGGAGAGACATTTGGTGACCCTCTTCCAAGTAGCGAAGCTGCACAACAACTTGCTGCTATTAATACTCCTCATTCTGAACTACGCCCCTTGCTTGAAGATATTTTCTCTGGTTCCAGTGTGATGGGTGGCATGCCTATTAATAATCACAGCGAGCAGGAAGCTTCAATACCTGCATATGCACGTAAGTTTGAAGCCATGGTGCAAGATGCAAATACGAAATTATATCCGAGATGTGGTATGAAGAAAATGGATTTCCTAATACGAGTATTTCAAAACAAGTGCTTATATGGGTGCAGCGAAAGTGCAGTACAAGCTAATCTTCAGCTTCTCAAACATATACTCCCAAATGGTCATTCTTTACCGAAGAAGGTGATGAGTACAAAGGGATTGCTGAAAAAATTCATGTTGCCTCACCAAAAGATCCATGCATGTGAAAATGACTGCATGTTGTATTGGAAACATAACAGTGGTTTAGATGTTTGTCCTACATGTGGTGTGTCTAGATATACAACCAAGGTAGATGACACAGCGCCAAGCAGTAAAAAGAGAATACCTCGGAAGGTGCTAACATATTTTCCTATTACACCTCGCTTGCAACGGCTTTACATGTCTCGACACACCAGTGAAGATATGTGTTGGCATGGTCTTTCTCGGCCCGAGGATGGCTACTTAAGACATCCAGCTGATTCCTTTGCATGGAAGCAATTAGATTTGAAATTTCCAACATTTGGTGAGGAAATGCGCAATGTACGTCTTGGGTTGGCAAGTGATGGATTCAACCCCTTCGGAAAATGCAGCACCGACTATAGCACATGGCCAGTATTGTTGACCATATACAATTTACCACCTTGGTTGTGTATGAAATCACCTTTCATATTGATGGCTTTGTTAATACCGGGCAAAGAATCTCCGGGAAATGATATTGATGTATACCTTCAACCATTAATAGACGAGCTGAAGGTATTGTGGACCTCCGGGGTTCCCACTTATGATACGTTTAGGCAAGAGACCTTCACCTTACGAGCAGCTGTTTTGTGGACTATTAGCGACTTCCCCGCCTATGGGAACTTGTCTGGTTGGAGCACACATGGGAAATTAGCATGTCCTCATTGCAACTACAACACTGAGTCGACATATCTCAAAAAGGGTAGGAAATATTGTTATAGGGGTCACCGTCGTTTCTTGCCCATGTCACATGTTTTTCGTCGACAAAGGAAAGCCTTTAATCTTTCTGACGAAAGAGAGCAAGCACCTTCCCCTATGACCGGACGTGAATGCCTTCGGCGGTTGTCCACTTTACGGTTCAAATATGGTAAGAACGCCACGGAAACTGGTTGGAGACAAAAGACCACCACCTACACCAACGGTTGGGCCATGGAAGAAAAACATAGTATTTTCTTCCAATTGCCGTATTGGGAACATCTTGTCCTTCGACACTGCCTTGATGTCATGCACATTGAAAAAAATGTAACTGAAAGTTTGGTTGCAACGCTGCTGGGTATTGTTGGGAAAAGCAAGGATAACATGAATGCAAGGTTGGACTTGGAATTGATGGGCATGAAACCGGAGTTGCAGATCAAATTTGTCAATGGAAAGCCAAAGATGCCTCCCGGTGCATATACTATGAAACCATTAGAGAAGGAATTGTTTTGCAAGGTCTTAGCCTCAATAAAAGTGCCTGACAATTACTCGTCCAATATTTCACGTCTTGTGCATGTAAGGGAAAAGATCATAAGGGGACTTAAAAGTCATGATTGGCACGTTTTAATGCAGCAGTTCCTTCCAATTGCCATACGCAAAAGCCTCCCATCTGGGACTGCACAGATAGTATTAGAACTAAGTGCATTCTTCAGACATTTGTGTACTAAAAAAGGGTCAGTGGAAGGCTTTCGCAAACTTACACCCAAAATAGTGATGATCCTATGCCAATTGGAAAGGATATTACCCCCTGCGTTCTTTGTCGTCAGTCTTCACCTCACAATACATCTTGCCGAGGAAGCTGCACTTGCAGGTCCGGTGCACTACAGATGGATGTACCCAATTGAGAGGTATTCCTTAACTTTTAGTATGTTTCTATGGGTATTACATATGTGCATCATACTATTTAGAACAACAATTTTGATGTTGTACTATTTAAATTAGGTTCCTGCTTACGTTGAAGAAGTATGTTCGAAATAAAAATCGACCAGAGGGAAGCATGACCCAAGGATATCTGGCTGAGGAGTGCTTGTCTTTTTGTGCGATGTACTTGGAAGGCGTGGAGACACGTTTGAACCGTCCAAGCCGAAATGCAGATATATTACGGCCTGACCATGATGGCAACTTTGACATATTTTGTGCCACCGGCCATTCACTTGGTATACAGGAAGATTATCATCTTGACAACCACGATTGGGAGATTGCACGATCGTATGTTTTAGCCAATTGTGATAAGTCAATGGCATATAGGAGGTGATTAAACTTAAATGTTATAAACTGCAGTTCAATGGCACCAACTTCTGAAACTCTACTGTTGGTTCTACAGAGTGACATTGACTTTATTTTCACCTACAGAAGTTACGTGGAAAATGCTCAAAAAACTCGAGGAAGGCGTGTAACCATGCTAGAAGCAGAGAAAGAAGCTATTAAATCCTTCCCAGATTGGTTCGAAAACCATGTTAGTACGGAATAAGTTAATTCTGTGTGTACTGGTTTCCTATTTAGCTTCCAATTCTTAACTATGCATATGAACCTGGGTGTAAATTGTGTAGGTTAATCAATTGCAACATTCAGGTGATCCAAGTGCAACTGACGACTTGGTGGCGCTTGCTAATGGACCTAGTAAGTGGTGTCGGAGATATAAGACTTTTGTATGTAATGGGTTCAGGTTCAAAGTAAGAGGCACACAATCCAATGGGAACTACCAAAACTATGGTGTTTTCCTACAGTCTGATGTTCCAAGTTATGCTGGCCCACGTGACCGGAACCCTGTTACCAGTTTGGTAGACTACTATGGGGTTCTGACTGATGTATTTGAAATCAAGTACCATATGGAACGCACGGTGGTTTTATTCAAGTGCAACTGGTTTAATGGCACTTCCAGAAATACTGGTGAGGGAGTAAAAACAGACATATATGGCTTTAGATTGGTTAACTTCAATAAGATGTCGTCTACGAGTGACCCTTTCATTCTCGCATCACAAGCACTACAAGTGTTCTATGTACAAGACCCAACAAATATAGAATGGCATGTTGCAATCAAAACGAGACCACGCGATTTCTTTGATATGTCCTCAACACATGATGATGATCCGTGCGATGGACAGGATGTGGAACATGCAACTGGTGATAATGATGAGGTTCGAGTTAGAATCGATGTAGACGCCCAAGACTTTGAAGAATGCCTGTAAAAGCATCTAACTTTTGATGAAGGTAATAGTTATAGGAAGTATTGATTCGATGTAGAAGCTCATCCATGTTTTCTCAAATTATATAGTTGAACTGTCTTTCAATCTGACCCTTGTTATGGTATGTTGTTACTTATTGTTTCAGGTCATTCAAAAAAACGATGAGGTCTGTTTTGATCAACAATTTGTATTCTGAGATTCATCGACGCAAGCAAGGTTGTTAACTGATTCCAGCGTTGATGTGCTCTCTATCTCTCTCTCTCCATATAATTTTTTTGTTTGACAGGTTATTTAATTATTCCTTATTGTTACTTTGCTGCAGGCTAAAATGTATGACATGTTTCTTATGTTCATTCAGAGGTATATGCTGCCACAGAGAAGAATGGAATATATATACCACGACATCGTTATGTTAGTGAAGAAGCAGAGAAAAAGGTCTTATTCTTGTCATTGAACTGAATTATGGACTGTTTTTCCTACGTTCACAACTGACTAGTTACTAACTTCATTAACTCTTTATGTACTGTAGGCAATGTCTGAAAAGATAGAGCGGATGAAACTTGATTATGATTCAAAACACAAGGTATCTCCATCAACATTTCATTCCTTTCTTTTTTAATAATATTGACTACAGGGTGAGAACTAATATGAACGTTACATTGGCCTGAGAGTAGAAATTGCTGGAGCTTCAGGAACTTTACAGTTGTGAGCAACTTTTGGCTGTACAATTGAATGCTTAACTTGTGAAAACTGAGGTAATACATTTGTAATATCGACTTACAGAGTGTCCTTTATTCTTTCTGCTCTCGTTCTGAGATAATTAAACACTTTATACTTCAGAAAAAGCTTGAGGAAACTGGACATGCACTGTATGGTATTGAGGACAAGCATTTGAAGCAAATGCGTCCATCAAAGAGCAGGAATTTGTGATAGTTAATCTCCTCAAATCGGGTGAGCAAAGTTGTTTGCTAAAACAACTTGTCGTGTCACCATCTGCATTTTCAGACCATAGATAGATTCTCTCCATTTCATCTTACTTTGAAGTTATACAGTCGACATTCATGATTATTGTACAATAGTTCATGTTAAATGTTTGGCATATATTAACTTTCATGCTGGAAGGTACATTTAAATGACTCTTGCTTACTATTATTGCATTGTTAACTTTGAAAAGAAATCACTCGATGGGCGTGCAATTGAGCTAAGAGCAGAGCTAGATAATGCTGCATCAGATGTGTCCAGTTTATTTGCAAAAATTGGTTTGTATTATTATTTTTTTTGTTCTTCTTTGATCTCCCTCAAAACTCTAGGTTATTTATTTTCTGACCATGGATGGTGTTGTACAGCGCAAGGACAAAATTTAAGATGAAAACCGGATACTAGTCCAAAAATTTCAGTCCCAATTAACTCAGCAGCTTGAAGTCTTGCATAAGACTCTGGCAGGGAAGCATAACACAACAGGAGCAACAATTAAAAGATATGGAAGAGGACATGTAGTCCTTTGTATCAACAAAGGCGGAGGTAAGGCCTAGACAAGAAGATGATTGTATTTGCATGCATTCCTGAGATTGAATTGTCAGTCTATATACAACTTCATTTTTTGGCTTAATTTTGAAGGATACTAAAGAACAACGACGAAGATTAGGAAAGCTTAAAAACATGTATGGTTCTGGTAATAAAGCTTTAGATGGTATAGCTGGGGATCTTGAAGGAAATTCACAATCAATGTTTTCTCATCTAAACTCTGAAGTGTCGAACCATTCTTCTGCTCTGGAAGATGTAAGCATTAGTTCAATATATATTTTGTCTTCAGATTTCTTTGTTTTTTCTGTCATGATATTTAATTAGCGCAACTGTTGCTGAATACATATAAATCAAACTGGTACACATTAGTAAAAGTGCAAAATACACAGCGTAGTCATACATGATATTGATTCCATAAACCATCCATACAAAAACTTAGATAACATAGCAGTCTATATAGTTACCAAATGCCTAGGTTCAAAATATAAACATCCATATCTTCTGCGGTGGTACAAACTGAGCAGGAATGTTTACATAGAGCAAAAGACTAGAGAATTGTTTTTAAACGTTGACAACTTGAACTGCAATGGACATACGTGCATACTAATACTAGAATATAACATCCATTCCCAGCTAGGTTCAACTCTTCTTACCATAAGCGTCATCGGATGGTGATTTTGCATTCTGAATATCTTTGGGGATGGCTTCCTGTTTTGTTTGACCTATAGCACGATTCATCCAATCACAACGTTCTTGACCTCCCACATATTCGCACGCAGCACACTCTTTAACAGCCTTGTACCTTTTTTGAGGATGACGAGTCCTTGCAGTACTGGTACAATCAAAATCAGAATCGAAGTGTACAGCATTGCAAATCTCAATAGGATCAAAGCGGTATGAATCACCGGGGAAAAAAGATGAAATTATTTTCACTGTGTCACCACTGATGGAAGGTTGCTTTCCACTGGTCATTAATTTCTCAGTATCAGCACTGATGCAAGGTTGTTTTCCACGGCTACCATGCTTCACGTAGCCGATTTCGTTGGACCAGGGTGGAACCACGTTCACACCAAAACCTGGAAGATCAGATGGAAAGTGCTCATCTTTTAAGATCACATTTTTCGCTGCCTCATCATAACGAGGACAATAAATATTGATCAAGGGATTGGGTGATGGATGAGGGTAAACGGGCATGTTAGAGCCATGCGAAAAGTCTTTCCATTCACCCCAGGCAATAGTTGTCTTTGCAGGGGATTCGAACTGCTGGTTGGCACCTGAGTCGAATGTGGGGTTTTGCTCGAACTCGAATTCGACGTGAAAGTTAGCCTGTAGGTAACGCCAAAAAATCAGGATCTTCATGATTGGCAGTGAGCACAGGGAGAAGGTTTTCTTGGGTAGGAACCGGGGTTGCAGTGTTATTGGTTGGGGCAGGCATCATGGGACCAAGCACTTCATAATCCACCGCAGGAAGAAGGGGTTCAGTCGTGTTACAAAATAACTGTCTGCGAACATTTGGGAATAAATGGGACATTGGTGATTTGGTGTAAATTTGAGATGAAGTTGAAACTGCTGTAAGTTCAACAACCTCTTCAACGTTGATATTTATAAATGAGATTAGAATGGAGGGCAAGGCACTTGTAAGTTCACACCCACTGAGTTGAAAAAATAATTAATTAGGGTGTCAACAATTAAGTCCCGGGATTCTCCTTACAAAAGCAGGGATATTTGACCGCACATGGCATATGCCAATCTCATCAACCATGAATTCCAAATCTGCCACCTCACAGACTGATAAATTATTTAATGGGTTCCTATATTTTTTTATTCGTTAATAGCAACAGCTGGCCATTATGTGTGGCTAGGGGCGAACTCCATCAGTGTATATCAATTAAATAATGGTTTTACTATTGTTAGTAGGCGGGAGGAGTTGCCGCTCGACTTAAATGTGTCTGCAAATATTTGAAGTTTGTATTTCAAATACGGAACGTGTCTGGCTTCATAGATATCACTTGACTTGTTTAATTGCATCAAGCTATCAACGCAAAGACGAAAATATCTGGAGGGCACAGAGGTTACATTGAAGCCATTTCAGGAGGTATGTACTATTGTTCTCTGCTTACCAGATAATTAATTGAGGTGTTAAATGTAAATGCTTTTGTGTACTGCTGTTCATTGGACGCACTTGTGTTCTGTTTACATGAAATGTAATTTTGAAGGTACTGTGGGTCAGCATCAATAACTCAGTTGCATCAATGTTGATTGACGAAGGCATCGAAACTGAACCACCAGCATTCAACCTGATGGAACACAACCACATACATCATTTCCCGATTCCAAATAATGTCGAAGGTAGCGTGGATGAACGTCCACGTATGACTGTTGTAGAGCACAGGCACCTAGGGGCATAAATAGGCCACATTGGGCACCAAATGGTACGAAGGAGGTGATGCAATTTAATGGGAAAGGGCAGCCGGTAGAGCCTCCTCACACTGTTGCTAGATTTTCTAGGTTTTTAGGAATGCTATCTCAGGAAGCATCATATTTTCCGATTAATGTAGTTGATTGGAGGCATTTCTACAGGGGTTCAAACATGGATCGTGCTTGGC